GGGGGGGGGGGGGGTGAAGTACCAGAGGTAATTTCCTGTGCGTTCCTCACGCACTCCAGTTCACATAAGAGACGACGCATCTCGTTCTTGTAAAGGCGCGCGCTTGATTCCCTATTGTTCTCGATTTTGGTGGAAGAGACTCGTGTGAGAGGATACCCAACCGTAGGACTGTGTGTTGGCGTCCGTGGTGAAAGTAATGTTGCCACACCAACCCCGTGGGACTTTGCTTGGGGTCTCCTCCCAGTACCCAAGGAATCTCATATTATTTTTACATTTATCGTTATTTCCTCATTTTTTTTCCATCCATCTACAGTCGAATTGGGTAAATGGGACATTGGTTCATCTAGTGATTTTTTTTCGCAAGGAGATTCTAGTTACTTTTTGTGACTCACCTGGCCCTGCGCGACACTAGGGTGGAATTACAAGGGTGCAGAAATATTATTTATGAATTTTGCACTATACTTTAAGCCGTGTAAGTAATTGATGCAGCTTTATGCAATGATCGGTGTTAGTGACGTATTTTACTTGATGCAATCATGAAACAACGAGATCATCTTCGAAACGGATAAAGTCCCTATATGTCTCTAGAGAATAATTTGCGCTCGAATGAACGCGCCGATGCGTTACTTTCGATCTTCTTTGCATTTTCGTGCTAGCTGCTTTGTAATATGTTGCGCGACTCGTTGCGCCACACGTCTAAGAAATCTCTCGCGCGTTCGGTATAATTAGGAGTAATTAGCAGCAAATAGACTCGAATATTACCCGAGATCAGAGATCTCGTTGGGCTCTAGCGTAGAAAGCGTGAGTCGGCTCGTTAATCGCGCCACTCGTTTTCAAGTGGAGAGCATTCAGCTTCCGGGTGTGTCCAAGTGACCGGAAGTGGGTCAATTATAATGAACTACCATGGTAATTAGACTACCAAAGTTCCCTAATAAACTTTCGCTTTGCACTATTTTTCATTCAGAGTGCTATATATGATATACGTATTAGAATAATCCTAATTTTTTGTGAATGAGTAAAGCCTGCTGCTCATTTTGTACTTCTTGCGGAATTTCTCATTACCAATTATCATTTTGTGCTATTATTGTTCTTAAGGAACCGGAAGTCGATAAATCTGAGTTATTCAATTGTTAATTAACACTAGTCTTGGGATAGTATGTTGTTCCCATGTACTTGCTCTAATTGCAAAATACCAGTCTAGTGATATCTTATGGCCTGTGTTTGTGTGATATGCGCGAACGTGCTGAAGTAATTAAAAAGTTAAGGGAACTTTGTGAGTAAGAAACTGAATCAAAGCGCCAACGAATATCCAGCGTAAACTTACAATACGTTCAGGAGATATGGTAACAAATTGAAATTATTACATCTTTTAATTAACAAATTATTTATTATAACAAAAATAATAACTTTGCTCAGTAATACTTAAAATAACGAAAGACTACACCCAGTGACATTTTGTCAGAGGTATAAGTTTTTCGGCAGGTACCAGTGGTAATAAAATAATAAAAATACTACGTAACAACACTAAAAAGAAAAAAAAAGGTAATAAAACTTGCAGGTACCAAGAACAACTAAGAAAATACTCGAATCGAAATAAATCCCTAGAAGAAATACTGTCCAACGTGAATCTTATTTGGAAAATCGCCTAAAGAAAAATCACTATAAATAAGACTTAGACCTCAAGTCCATTGGCACGCGTTTAAAGTGAATTCGAAAAGCCAAGGGACCTATTGCTTCCTCATGCCAATATGTATATATATATATATATATATATACACACACGAGGGATGGTATATTTATGGGGATGGAATGTGTCTGATTTCCATGGGATTCAACTACAGGCAACCGACCTATTGCTTCCTCATGCCAATATGTAACGTGAATCTTATTTGGAAAATCGCCTAAAGAAAAATCACTATAAATAAGACTTAGACCTCAAGTCCATTGGCACGCGTTTAAAGTGAATTCGAAAAGCCAAGGGACCTATTGCTTCCTCATGCCAATATGTATATATATATATATATATATATACACACACGAGGGATGGTATATTTATGGGGATGGAATGTGTCTGATTTCCATGGGATTCAACTACAGGCAACCTACTCGGAAACCTACTACCTTCAACCTTTCAAGGATGCAGGACCTACTCTGCGGTTGCTAGTAGTTTCTCAAAGTAAGTGATATCATGGTCTACTTCCTTGGAGCGACCTACATCCTTCTATCCTTCTTGGAATCCCTTATCCACCCTTTCAAGTTTCTACCCTTATCACTGGAGTCTCATTTACTTGCCCTACGATCTGGAGCTCCTTCAACCTTCAACTACAGTTACATTCAATGGTTGTACATTTGTCAGCCAGCGTTCCTTTATGATTATAAGCATAGCACGAAAACGGTACTGACATGGATCAGCGATTAGGAAACAAAATTCTCTAGATTTTTATAAAAAAGAGGATCGCTGTATAGAATACCAAAATTTCACATGCCCATAATTCACTATTGAACTTGTCATCAAAAGTCCATATTATGGAGGTCTGGGGCACTATAGGTTGTATATTTTGGTATCGTCAGCTCCAATAAGTAGATTTCGACCTAACGTGATAAGAGGGATTTATTACCCAGATCAAAACCAGCACTAGTTACCTAATATCTGCTCAGACCTCAAATGCGCTTAAATATATCTAAGCTCCTATCCAGGAGTACACATCCTCATATCAAAAGCAGTCGAGATCCGATTCTAGGTAAATTTCGTACTACACTTCTATAAAGGCTTTAGAGATTAGAGTAGGTCGCTAAAGGCTGCCCAGTGAGCTTGCTCTTTTATCATATTCAAAAGTCTATAATTCAAACGTAAAGCGAGTCTTTTGAGGTTCTGCAAATAAACCACTACAGTCGCTACGTAGTAACAACTTGATTCACTTGATCGTTGTACGTATACAGATTACTACTTGAATATCTAGGTATTTTGTTCCTTTAGCATTTTGCGAGTTTGCTACCTTCAGCCGAGTAGCGTGTAAATCAGTGAATGCTTTCCAGTACGTTAAGAAAAGTCTATACAGAAAATTGAATTAAATAATCATCTGTCATTAGAACGATTTTACTCAGATAAAGAAAAATCTTCAACGTCAATTTATGATTTTAATAATTTTAGGAATTTCACTTTTAGGTACTAAATTTCAAAAATATCTTTGTTACCGACGCGTGTCCACTCCTTCTAACCGTGTACGTGGCGATTGAATTTTGATATTGGACAGATATGGACGTTCGATTTATAACAACGTAGAGTTAATTTTGATAACGTTTCAATCTCCTCGGTTCAGTCGATAAGACACTTTGGCGTGATAACCCTTGTCGTCCACGTGGTAATTGACACTTTGAATCCTTCCGTCTGGCAGTAGCACGTGGTATCTTCCGGTCGTGATGTCCCCATCTCGTTTCTCATGGTGGCTAAAGTCGTTTCCGGTATCGGGATCGGTCACGTGATAGCCAAAAGAATATTTACTGGCGTACTGCTCCTGAAAATGCGAATTACGTGAGCCGCATTCTAGGACGCCTGAGAAATGGCGTGGGCTGATACTTGACTCTACTATATATCTCGTGTCTCCCGAGTGAGACTGTCGGTAGAGTGTCTATCTATCGTGTCGGTAAAATCGGCTGTCATCCATCAGCAAATCTGTTTTACCCGTTATTCCGTACAGTCTATTTTATCAAACTTGTCACTTAATCTGTTTCATTTATCATGTCGTGTAATCTGTTTGAATCTGTCATCCCGGTAAATCGGATGCTATCAAACACAATATATCCCACCCTTGTCCACCCCTTTCTAATGTGGGATTAAAAATACGTGCGTCAACTGATTTCAGGTAATACTCTAATTCAGGAAGCGAAACATTACTCACGTAATCTTTTTCAGATGAAGGATCCTCTCTCCCGTCATTTTTGGATTTTTCGAAATCCACTTTGCCATCGGGTAGGTCACCTTCTTCAATCCATACAGGTGGCGCGGTCTGACCATTTGTGAAATTGACCACTCCCTTCTGTATTCCAGTGTGCCCGATGGGCTTGTAACCTGAATGGTCGTTGTTGCTCTGCGAATAATCTAAAGTACCTTCCTGATAGATCGTATTTGGAGATCCTGGAGTTTCTGCTGGCAGTGGCGTCACAAATGTTTGCTCGTAAGGCACTGGGACTTCGCTCACAGGAATTATTTCTCTGGGATGTTCTGAAATTGTATCGCGTAGAAAATAATTAGAACATTTTTTAATTCAGTTACAATCGCCTCGACGGATATTTATATTCCTTTGTTAAGTAAGTCTGAGAATGTTATTACGTCACTGCGTTTTCAAAAATTGACAATGTTACGAAAAAGAACAATTTTCTTCAGATTACAATATTTCTTGTCGAATAAACAGAATTCGATGACAAATTGCGAGTTATACAGTTTTGGAAAAAATAAAACTTTTGTATTCTTCAATATTTTCATTTTTGACAACACCAATGGGTACTCCGATTTTTTTTCAATTAATTCCTATTAATATAACTTACTGGGTCGTATGGTTATATTTCAAATTAATATTTTTGAATCTGATAGTACCGGTTTAGTACCTACATAAAAGTGTTTTATTTTTAACGCATTTGAAATAATCGTACGAAAGTAAACAAGATTAATCATCAGATAATTTCCATATAAAAAACCGGTCCCAAGTTGCAGCACCGGTTTTAACGATTCGAAACGTGTCAGTAATTCCAACTAAGGAACTCAGTTGTACCTGTGATCCCGGCTGAGGTCCGTTATTAGTTATAAGTAGGTCAGCTACTGTTACCTGACCTTCTCAGGTGTGTCTCTTTATTTACAGACCTTGGACCAAGTTACACAAACCAGTCTTGGGTCAATGTCACTTTAAAGCGTGCGGTTGGTACGAAGCGATGAAGTTACTAGATATGTTGTTGAGCCAGGTCATGATCAAACCAACAGATAGAGATGAACGCATATTTTTGAGATTATTAGTTCTTTGCGGATCATAATTTTGTATGATTATGATTATTTACAACAAAATATGATTATTGAAAACACAATTACCATTCGCAAAAATTTGCTGACCTGGACCAAGAAGTATATTCAATCCTTGCAATTGTTGCTCTGGATTCTGACCAATCAGATTCACCAATTCCTGCACTGTTCTCGTTTCACTATTAGAATCTACATAATTAGCTGGATGATTGTTGGTACGTTGAACAATAATTCGTGGTTCGCGAAAAGATAATTTTTTTATTAGACCATCGTCCAAGATTTTGGCATTGTCGAAAACTCCCTGCAGTGCATTTATCTGTGCGGGATTCACCCTGAATAGTCGTGCAGAATTGTCTTGTTCCGCTTCCTGTATTTCAGGACTCGGACGAAACTCATTGTTATTCTGCGATATACTTAAAGATTTCGCAGGACGTTTTAGATTGTTTTCAACAATTTGCGAGTTTCTTATAGTCCGCTTAAATCCGTCGGAATTTCTTAATTGTAAATTGTCGATCAAAGGGTTTTTAAAGGGTTGCTGATTACCGTATCGCGGGGCACCGTATCTGGTGTTATAATTGCGAATTTGATTTTGCAAATTTTTATCAGTCTCGTACAATCTCCTGTTCCTTGTAGGTTTAAAAAAATCCTTCGTGTCGTACAATTCCAAAAAATAACTTCGGGCAGGTCTCATGTTAGTTGACTGCTGATGAGGTACGTTTCTAGGATCAAAAATCCCTAGATGACCGATATGCCTTTCTCTGTTTTCTAGTAAATTTTTTGTACTATTATCCTCATCCTGATTTTCTCGCAATAATTCTTCCCTCGAGTTGGTCCTCGAATAAAGCGGATTAGTGCTTTTTGAAATTGCCTCATTTTTTGTTCTCTCTTTTTCTGCGTTCAGTTTTTTAATTTCGGATTCGACAATTCTGTCCGCATGACCCAACAGGGGTGTACCCAATTTTCCATTCGCCCTGGGCAACCCGTTTCCTTTTTCTGTCGGATTTACGTAATCGAGTAGCGTGTTCCGGTGTTCGTTAGCCACTTGCTGATTAGAAGGCTCCCTAACAATGGCGGGGCTTCGTAAGCTCGACGTGGTTTGCGAGCTTTGGCCGTAACTGTAGTGGCACGCCATCAGAAAACACATCGTTACCTGCAATAACAACCATTATCGTTAATTGATTGGTGGGCCTCGCCTAGACAGTAGTCACAGGGTGAACGAGGGTTACGGGTGCGAATAATCGAAAATTGGGGTAACACAAATTTTTTTTTAGGATTTAACTACGAGGACTTTTTTTATATCAGACTGTACTCCTTTGATTATCCCCGTTGCAGGAAAATCTAATGAAACGAACGATTATTGACGTTATTCGTTAGTTTTTTATATAAATAACAAAAAATATTTTGTATTAATGTCTCTTTTATACATACTTGCTTTCAATACTTTCTCTTTCCTTGGTTATATTACAGAGGATCAATTTACCAAAACAAACTTGTAAAATTTTTAATCTTTTTTTCTTTCTAAAAAATCTTTTTCCTCTCCCTTTAATATATAAAGAGAGAAAAATAGTAAGAGCTACCGAAAATATAAAAAAGTCAATTGTTCGAAGTTATATAAGGTTGTGTTACGCTAGGTCAGGTTCCGGAGCTACCGAAGAGCTACGAAGCTGGACAGGGTGATAATTAGCTCAATCAGAAATTCTCACGCATTTCTACACTCGTCATTAACTTCGTGAAGCTGTCGACGAGCTACCGAAGATTTGGATTAATCGCGTAGAATCGTTTGGAGAAAAAAAGAACATGAAAAAACGATCATTAGTATAAAATTTTAAAAAAAATTCCCATAAGGCATTTTATAACCTAATCCATTTTTAAGGTTTTTTAAGCAACAAAAATACTTTATACCTGTACCTTATCTAATTTGATTTTCAGTGCCATTTCTATGCATAAGGGGCGAGTGGGATAATCCCGAACACAGGTGTTATGATACATTAGAAACAGAAAGCTGACTTTGTCTTTTCACTAGCAGACAAACTTGCATTCAGTGCCGGACGGATAGTTGTGAGCAAAAGTTTCGTAGACCGTTCGAGGTAAATAATTGATTTTTTTCGTCATTTTGCAAGTCATTTTTTGTCACATTGAATTACACGTAATTATTGTTACATAGTATAAGCGATGCAATTAGGATTTAGTAGCATTGTAATAAGTATAATTTAACCTAAAAAAATAACCTCTGAAAAATGTCAAATTTTTTTTATCACGTATGACGAACGAATCAGATGAGACAATCCTGAACACTCGTCATTATTTATCGCTAGTACCCTTTTTTAATGTTTTTAATTTCAATATTGAGTTAATTATTTCGAAACGTTTCGTTTCGAAAAACGAAACGAAAGTATAACAGAATTTACAAAGAGCCATAAAAGGATGTGACGGGTAAAACAATTAACATTAGGAAAAGCACCTACTGTTTATTCTGTGTTGAAAACAACTCTATTTAACCACTTGAAGAAGAGTTATTAAAGTACTAAAATGTAGAAGAAAATCTGTATTTTGTGATACACAAGGAAAAGAATTGGAAGAATATACATATTATAAAATATAGTAAATTCGTGTAGATACTGTTCGTGGTTACCCCATGGCTGTAGGAATTCACGAATATCTAGGGTTTTGTTTACTGATTAAAAGTTAAATTTTGTTTTCAATTTCATGAAAAATAATTTTATAAATAAATGATTTAAATATGTTATTATTTAATAAAGGAACTATTTTTCCATAAACCTTTTGTTTTAATTGATTTTGTCCTTAGGTGTTCGCAATTTCCCCACTATCTCCTATTCAAAATTTTCTAGCTACATACGAATTATGTACAAGTTCAAATAAAATGTGTTTTTTTCCTGACATATATTTTATAGGAAAATTCAGAGGCTTCTCTCTGCATTCTACTGGGCGTATTTTGTTATTGTTACTTATGGTACAGGTGAGTTACGCAATGTCTAGATGCTGGCTGGCTGTTTGTAGTAAATCATTGTGTAGCGGCTAATCGGAAAACAATAGCACTTCATTACGACGGGATAGTAGAAATGGTGGTAGTTGATGGAGGAAGTGGGCGAGGGTGGCTGGGTACTCCTCTACGATTTCCTCTTCGTCTACCTACTATTCTCTTACTCCCGTGTGTACATTTGCTTTGTCGGTTACGTGTTAACATAACGCGTTCTCGGACCACTTTGAATGGTCAGACTGTTTCGATTGTTTCAGGTCATCCTTTGACGCGTTTATTTGCCATATAAAAGCATCGCAAGCAATTCTTTTTTTGACGGCAGTCAAGAGTTACGATTTTCAGGGATTCGTACATAGGGCTTTTTTGAGTGAGCACTAGAGAATTTTTATTTTTTATTTTTTATCTTGGGACGGAAAAATATTTTTATTCGACTCTCAAAAAATTTTTGCCAATATTAGGTCGATTGATGGGGATGATATTGCGTATGGAGCTTTTTTGATAAATTATTTTTTGTAATTTCGAAAAATTTTTCTGGAATCGCTTTGTTTTTATTTCACGTGATTTGAAAATCTTTTTCTGGTAGCCCGGATAAAAAATTTTTGCCTGGACCTCGAAGTTAGGGTGACAAGGGATACGCTGAGTAAACGGGGCTGAGTAACTTTCGGCACTTTTAACTTCTTCCATTCTCCAGTTTTACCTTTGATACCTTCTTTAAACTTCCATCGGCTTTCCTTCTCGTCATTTTACTTCTATATATCTTTTCCTTGCTTTTTCTACTTACCTAACTTGGTATCGTGCGTTCGTTCGAGTCCTTCGTCCGCAAACAATTTAAATTCCAAAAAGAGCCAAGGAGGCTCAGAGAAATAGTCAAAATTCACAATGGGATAGGAAAGTTCTACATTTAGGTAATAGAAAATTTTTCGCAAACTTTTTAAGAAAAAAAAAGAAAAGTTTACCAAGTTAGGTTGCGTTTTACCTTCAACCTTAAAACGAGCAAGAGAATCGACCTTCGCGAACCAAGGTATCTCGCGGTATATTACTATTTCAAGACTACAATAAACGAATTTATTCCTCATAAAAAAGTTTTTCCACACGAGAAATTCGATTTGGATATTGCCTAAGAAGTGGATTTTTATAGGATTATCCTAGGAGCGTTACGGTTAGAACTTAATAAAAGTATGCCATAAATTTCACGTGAACTGAAAACGCAAAATGATCTCACGATCAGAAAAAAACTTGAGTGACGAGTTCCAATAAATTCCTATATCATAAACAAATTTTTAAAATTCAAACACAAAGAAAATGTTCTACTCACCAACAACTTCATCCTGCCTTCCATGAAAATTCCTGCTGCCTTTGAAAACGTACCTATGCAAAAAAAGTCACTAGAAAAAAGCAGAGATCACACCGAGAAATTTTACAGAATGTCACCATATCAGCCGAACTCGATGAACTGTTCACAACGAATAACGCATCGACAAATAAATGATATTACTTTCATCCTGGAAAACTTTCGATTTGTCCATTCAAATTGAAACCACTAGCTGCGATTGGTCGTAGCTTAAAGATTTCACTAATCACGTGACCTACTGTCTTCTCCACGCCCATTTCCCCACTGAACACCATACCGACACCTTACGGAAATATATGGAATCTGAGTAGAAACTGTTCTGTACCAAGTGTAAGGTCATACACGATCAAGATTTCTCTTTCACCAAGAAGGAAGATGGATCTTTATTTTTCTCCACTTCTCCCTTTACTTACCATGTGTATCCTAACGTGTTTATTTATGCGCGACAAAAAGCGTCCTGACATGACTATAGGATCTTTTCTGAAGAATAGGAAGTGGTTCACCATTAATATTTATGCTCTTGCTGCTTATTCTATTTGCAATGGTAATACTGTGAAATGAAGGAGAGTGTGTGTTTGCAGTATTACTGGCATGCTTTGCTGTATATATATATATATATACCCGAGTATATACTTCTGACTGTAGTATATACCTACCTGGACTATCTGTTATACACAGGGGGTCGCAGTTGCGCGGGAAGCATTTCTATGTTTACCGCATCTGTTTCGTTTATTGCGATGAATATTTTGTTACTGCTTTCATGGCTGCCATCCCAATCTATTTTAACCAGAAGCCACTGCTATTTGTTAATTGTAAATTCTATAGGGAATTCGGTGAGTGAAACGCCACACAATTGTTACGTAATTCTTATTCACAGAAATATGGACTTTTTGTAACATTAAAACTATATAATAGTATAGTATATAATTCTTAAATGTTTTTTAGTTTTATTTCTTACATTTAACGTACAACGTTTTAGCTCTACTGTAATTGTGGCCTATTATATTAATATTTATCCAGTATTTAGGTCGTTCTTGTTGCAGTTTGAAATCATGGCTTAAAAAAAATAGGAAAATTCCCTAGTTTAATCGGTCAATGTTTTCAGATATTACTTTGTTCGATTATGGAACAAACAGGACCGGCGAGTGTGCAAATGATGAAGGGCAGCCCAGTGAGCTCGTGTAGAGGGGGATTGTAGGTGGTGAGAATAATATTTGCATCCAATTAACCCTTGTGGTGTGGCGACACATATTTGTCCGGATTGTTTACCACACTCGATAGCTGGTCGCCATGTTTGTTAAATATTGTAAGAACCTAAAGTTATCGCGATAGGTTTTGTCTTAAAAAATTTTTTTCAACAAATTTCTTGAACACGCAGTTATTATATAATTTATTACGATTATTTAGTATCAATTGAAATTAAAACTTTTTTTTTGTCACCTATACAAATACTAATAGCTTTAGTGTCCATGTTTTCACTTTGATGCTTGTCCGGATTGATCACTTTCGTAAATTTCACAAAACTTTCCTGACACGTTTGAAAGTGGAAGAGTAATATTTAAATACGACACGTCAAACAAAATTCCATCCAGGAGCAATTATATTAATTTCTTGTTAAATCAAAGTTCAAAAAAATTCGGAAACATGATACAAAGTAAGCCAAACACAGTGTATCCTAATTTACCTAAGAATTACGGATACGGATATACAGGCATCCAAGGTATGCCTTGGATGCAATGAAAAGGACATATAAGATAGATGGTCGTCTATGGTTTCGGAAAGGTTGTCGGTAATAGTAGATTACGTAGAATAGTGGTAGTAGCGAATAGTAAGGGTTCGAGTAAGAGGGATGAAATTATAATAAATTCCAAGTATAAAGTTGCCAGATCTGCTCTCTACCCCACGCCATCCGGATATAAATTTGATTGGACTTTGATTGCAGACTTCATCTCCTTCTTGGGTTGGATTTTGCTCAGTTTGCCCTTCAACCCCTTATCCCCCTCCATGGCAGTCACCGTTAACCAACCCTTATTCCATGGAAATATCACAGCTAGAATCTTTAAAAATCATCCCTGTTCACCCTTGCTGTACCACCTTGATAACCTTAAGTCTAATTCTTACTCATCTTTATCTACTTACGAGACTTTCATCTCCGCCACCCGGCCCCTACGTCACGACTTTGCATCCGTGAACTGGTTCGAAGTTAAAGTAGGAAAAGAAAAAAAAGATTTTTTTCCGTCGATCGAAAGTAACGCTTGGATTATTTTTGTCCATTGCTTTTAGATTCGAAAATCATTGGTGTGTTAAAAAAAAATTTATTTCTCGTTAAATATTACCAGGTTTTTTAAAAACTGGCTGTCTGATTTTTTTCTTTTTTTTTTTTAATCCGATAAATAATTACCGTGTTTCACGGGAGTATCGATTTTCCATTAATGTCGGTATTTCGAATGAAGTGTATCTATAGCTGCTGGATGGCACCAAATTTTAGGATATAAAATCCAGTACAATGTTTTAATGAATTCCAATACATTAATCACTAATAATAATTATAGAGGATCGTTTTACCGGATACGATAGCAACTCCGTTTACGATTGTACGACTGTGAGCGATATTATAGGAAAATAAATTTCATAATTTTTTCCCGGTCAAGTGTCACCGGAAGAGGTTACATGAAATCTGTATTAAAAAAAATTGTCAATTTCTTCATCCATTTCCGGTGACGGAACAGTGCTCTCATTTATTTATTTTTTTCTTTTATAACTCACACTTTCTTCCAGCTTACGTAACACTTCAAGACGATACGATTAATATAATTAATTGCGAAGCGCGAGGACATTTTTAATTAGCGAGCCAATCAGTTAGCAAGATTCCTAGCCGCACAGACGTCTCGTCCATCATGCCAGAAACAACGGGGATCCTTAATTAAATTCTGACGCTTTTCGAGCAGAGTCACCTTTTTGGATGAAGCCTTTAACATCCTGTTGTATCAGGACAAAGTCCATTTTCCTGGTAACCTGTCCAAAAAGTTGAGTAAGAACGTAAAAGACGGAGAAGAACAAGGAATGAAACAATGAAAAGTCTTATGACTGTTTAACGAGAGAAAAGTATCGCACTTATATTATTACCCAATGAAAAGGGCTCAATTTTCTATTTGGATTTTTATTCCAAATTAAATAATACGCAACATGTCTTTAGCAAACATATTTTTATCAATCAGCATGTACAGTCAATGCATGCTTACGATGGTAAATGCTCAACTGATAACGGCTTGTAAGTCAATTAACGTTTCGCTGGAGAAAAGTGGGTCAAAGACGACAAGAATTAAAAAGTCGGTCAAACCCGAATTCCGTTTGTGTGGTTGGTACGTATGCCTCTCCAAATGGATTTATCAAAGGCAGACAGAAGCGGACGTAATGTAAAAGTTAACCAGAAGAAAGTCAATGGCAATGAACCTTCATGAAAGATCTTTGAATTTCACATCCTCAAAGAAGAATCAGCATCGAGCGGTAGCGAATGGTCCAAAATGTGTGTACGTACAAAAATTAAATAAAAAAATTGAATTCTCTTTACTTTTTTTTGACAAATTTCAAAATTCCTTAAATGCTGATATAGGATATCCGTAAAAAATAATGTTCGTAGGGACTTTTCGCATGGTCGCACGTGTTGGTCACACGAGGTATCTGTGTTAGTTGAATAGAAATGATGAGGATTGAATGGGGCG